AATAGCAGGTTAGTTTAATTAAAAAATGTTCAATGTATTTAACTAATTTCAAAACACTATCCGAACTATTTCATAATCCTCCTAATATTTTTTCTATTTTTACATCAGTCAATATAAAATATAAATATTTATGACTATTGCTAAGTTCACTTGATTATTTTATAATATTATCTACATATATAGAACAATTATTTAGAGTAATTTTTTTACAGTAAAACCTATAATATAATAAAGAATATTATCCTTAATATCACTGAATTGGTCAATCTTACCCATAAAAAATTATATTGGAGCATCAGTAATCTACACAAGAAACTGGTATTGTTTAGTAGTTATACAATTCAATATTGTAATTACAAAAATATTAACAAAATAAGTATTAAAAATGTAAATAATATGGCAAAATGTACAAAACTGAAAATATATCAAACAAAATGTGACAAAAAATAATTTGCTATACCAACGGAGAATATGACGTCACTGTTTTTAAAACTTCATTTGATTATAAAAGTATTTAATCTAGTTAGTATAAAATTCTGTGATCATCGATGGTCGGAATTTTGCTATTTATAGACGTAAGTAACATCAAACTATGAAAAAAAAACATAACGATAGTAATATACATAATAAAGACTGAAATAATAGATATAATGATATTGATAACAATAATGATGATTATATTATAATGTCGAATAATTAATAATTAAACATGATTACTTATAATATAAATATAGTATATAATATAGTTATTGGTGTAAAAAAAATTCTGATATTACCCTAAAAACTTTCAAAAAGTAAAAAAAAACTTCAAGCTCAAAATTAGAACTATTATATTTTTGCAACTTCAAAAACCAGTCCAAAAAATGCACTGATATCAACATTATTCAAGATTTTAATTTAACCATTTCCCTAAACATCTATCGTTTCTCCTTAGTTATAAATATTATCTTTGTACCTGTTTTGTTTTAATATTACTATCCAATACTTGGCGGCTGATATATTCATGTAATTATCTAAAATACACATACTAAGCAGATATTAATATTTTTTTTTACTCAGTTATCATATCCTTATTGTCTTCACAACATTACTTCAAATGATAATCTCTATGTTGAATTAAAATAAATACTCTACTCGAAACTTCTAAAATTGTCCAAGCTTATATTCAAATTGTAACTCGTATAAAAAGGTTTATGACTAGGATTTGTATGCAACAGCATATTTTTTTTACGACTTCTGATTATTAATTTTATCAATAATGTCCACGAATCACCTCATGATGAGATAAATAGACGTTTTTATTTTGCATGTTTTTGCGTATTTTGAATAAAATGCATATTATTGCATATTTCGATTATAAAAATGCGAAAAATGAACGTTTTATAATATATTTCGTAATTAATATTTATAATTTAATATTAATATTTCGTATTTAATTTTAGCCCTGCTGATTAAAGTATAAAACTTGATTTTTTTATCAAACATAAATTTTATTTTAAATTATTTTATTTTATTTCTCAATTATATTGTATTAAGACAAACAACCGACCACCGATGTATTTCAATATTTTTTTTTTTTGTAACTATATTTTTGTGTTTATCTTATAAAAAATTTAAATGCATATTTTACAATTTTTATTGCATGCAAATCCTAGTTTATGACCCTGTTATGAGCCCTGTTTATGACCAAAATTCTTTGACCCGAAATATACTTATCAATGTACGTATTATATATGTATGGATGTTCGTATTTATGTGTACTTAAAAACCATATTCGTTAGTTTTCGTTGTTGCGTCGCATAAGGCGTGGATACTAGGGGCGGTTCGACGCCCCCCTATAGACCATATCCCTTTAGACCTATAAAACCATATCGGAAGTAGGCACTTAAAATATTTAAAAAATTAAACGTAAGAAAAACTTCGTTAGGTTAGTACACATTGACATGCCCAACGAATTATGGCAGTAGCTCACTTTACTAACCTCCCCCCCTTTTTTCATATTTAAATCCGCGCCTGCGTTTCATCGTAATCGCTCGGAAGGATTATCAAAAAAGCAAAAAAAATAAAAATATTTCGCGAGAATAAACCGCTTCGTGTGCCGCGGTTATCGCGTGCGATTTAAAAATTAACGACGGCCGAATGTTGTTGTTGTTGTTGTTGTTGTTGCTGTTATTTGTTTCGGAAGTGAACCGTCCGCCGGGCTACGGGTGTATTGACCCAGACCGTTGAAGCGCGGTGGTTACCGCTGCACCCGGAGGTCGTCTCGTATTTTTCGAATAAAACCTTTTATCGACCCGCGCCGTCCTACCCCGTTCGCGACGATTACCATATCGTGTACAACATCGATTGCCATTAGTTTTCCCACTCGGTACGGAACGCACGCGCTCGCATAGCCGTTTTTGATTTCCCATTATTGTTTTTTTTTATTACTTTCACGCGAATACGTCCGGCAACAAACGTGTTTCGGACGGATCACCTCTAGCGGACCGTTCGCAGATATCGTCTCCGACGAGTACGGTCACCGCGACCGGGCCACCGATTTCCCGGACGCGTTCAACGGTTCCACCGCTCGCCGACGATTGTGACGCGGCCACGGAGTTTGCTACGGACGCGATGCGTTTTACGTTGTTTAAAAACGTTCGATAATCCGATGAAACGATCACGCATAGGCGTGCGCAGACTTCAACTTCCGGTCGAGCCCGAATATACAATTAGTGCTCCAATACTCGGACGGTACCCCTGATTTTTTTTCTAACACTCCAACGTAGTAGATTTTGTTGTGAATTAAAAACAATGTACTATTTACATCTATACATAGGATCAAGTGTTATACTGCTAATTTTTAGACATATATTTTTGGAGTAAAACTTTAAATTCTTTAAAATCAAACGATGTAAACACGATTAATTGATATGTATGTAGACGTTTTGCTATGGTTAGTTTAAATTTTACCACGCCCCCAAAAGAACTCCGGTCGAGCCGGGGCTCGCCCCGTGCGCACGCCTACGCGATCACGAGCATTATGCCGCACAGCTGCTTCAGCGACCGCATTTACGATATGTTATTACGTTTCGGCCCCACGTGCGGTATACGTGTTCCGGCTGCTTTCCAGTAAACTTTTTTTTCGCCGAACTGCCGCGCAGCAGCACACACCTGAAAAATAATGACGCGCGTTCGTAATACCTATATATGCGCACGCGGCCGACCGGCGCGTGAGTACACGTGCGCGGTTCGTCCGGCCGTACGCGTGCAACGGCTCGCGGCACCGTCGACGGCCGCGCATGTCTGCCAACTCGCCGACGACGGTCCGAACGATGCCGCCCGCAGCCATGCGTCGTCGCGTTTCGCCCGCGGTAGGCCACCCATCAGACGAGAAGCGATTTTTCGACCTGCGGCGGACTGGTGGGGATGGGACGGCGGCGTTGCCGATGGGGAAAATGGTGTTCGGCGAACTCGGGTGGTGGTCCCGCGGGCGTCTAGACAGACGGGATCGCTCTGCCGACGCGAGTCTGGCGCACACCCCTCCGCAGCCGCCGCCAGCCGCGACGTAACCACCGTTCGCATACGATCGCGCGCGTGCGCGCGCACATTCCTGCCACCACCGCCGCCGCCGCACCTTCAACGGTATCGACGAAATGTTTCCGGTCGTGCGCGGAAAGAAAACGAGCATTGAGTGTAGAACGCGGGGTTATACCGTGTCGTGTCAAATAATTGTCTCTGATTGGCCGAACCGCAGGCTTACTGTGTACCATACGGTATGTGTACGCAATTCATCGTACGTTTCCGAATTAACCGCGAAATTGATTTCATCCGACTTCGGAACGCCGCGGTTACCGGATTGAATTCGATCCTATGATAAAATTATCTGATAATGACATCGGAAGTATCGGAAGTGTCTGATATCTGTATACATCGTGCATGAAACTTAAAGTTATATATATATGTGTTACCGGAAGAGATGACTGACTAGTCAATAACGATAATGCCTGATTTAGCAAGGAATTAACGTCCAAACCTGGTCATTCATGACAATTCCTTATAAAAGAAGGCATTGATGATAAAATTAAAAATGAATTTGATATATTTTAATACTTATAATAGCTATTTAGGATAAATGGACTTGTCCTATGTTATATTCCAGACTAGGAATGTGCCATAGATCAAATAATTCTGGTGCAGAATTATGGTTTCATTATCTCAAAGGAATCAGGATGTACCTAGCATGATTTGGTATGGAAAGTGATTACTTTACAGCTGGCTGTGACTTTTATCTTGGCTTATACTGTCCTCGACTTTTACCAAGCTTTTTTCATATTCACCTATTTTAAGTATAAGATATATAATACTTTTTCTTAGCTTTATTGGATATTTTTGTACTTTCCAATGATATAATTAATTTCTTATTAAATAGATTAAACATTGTACACCGACGGGTCACATAGATACGTATTTTATATAGCACCTAGTGTAAAGAACATCATACGAAACCCCAAGTATTGAAGAAATGTAATTTGTTTTGTTTTGAAAAAATAATGTGATATGCATATAATATGCATCACTAGTGTCGGGCATGATACCTGTGTATCACCCAAATTTCGAATATACCTATTAATTCAGCATTGGCTCAAAACATTACCTAACCTGAATAAGGTTGTGAAAATGACCACACTTTCATCCTGAATAATATATATTAATCATATTGATTTATTAGATATAGTATTCATGGTAATGATTTGGTTGATAATCATTAAATAAACCCAAGTATGAAGATGTGTTTTATATTCAATGTATATCGAAATAAGGATATAAAGGATAATCAAGGCATGTAAAACATCATTCGTTAATCATATTTTCAAATAATTTATAATATATTTGAACATAATTTTATAATACTCAAGTACAAAATACATCATATTATACAAAAAATATTTACAAATACGAAATAATATACAATATTATAACAAATATTACTATATTTACTGGAAAAAGTTAATCACACTTTAACTTCGGTTTCAGCCAGCTGTATACGATAGTGTTTGTGAACGTATGTAATTCTATCGAGTTGTATTATACGCTTGTCATCTTGTCTGTTGAAACATAATTTATTGGATTTTATCGTTTGTAACTCATGGTAGCATGATCTGATAGAGACATTTTCTTTATAAGGATCAAATTTGACTTCTTCCTTATCGTTGGTAAAAATTTACATGGTAAAAATCTACATGATCTTTGAATGTCATATGATTTTTTCACCACATGACCTCGAATGCTTTTTGCTTTGATTTTATTCTTTGTTATTCAAATTATATGCGTACGATTTTGTTCATAGGGTTATAAATTCGGTCATAGTGTGTCCATCTGTCTTGTCGGAAAAGAAACTCGTTATTTCCTTACGTGATGACGTATAACATGGATGTTCATGGAGTAGATTGTAGGTATCCATGGACTCTAATAAACCTAGCTTGTTTAACAAGTCATCGTAAAAGTTGTCGGTTATAATATGATATATAAGAGAATCTGTATCTATGTACATCAGTCTGAGATTATTTTCAAAATGTTTTTTCTTTGTGTTGTAGTGATAATCATACATTAATGATATAGATGTTGTACTTATATTAACTTAATACAATTATAATATATGCTTATACTAAAGCGGTATTGGATGTTCCTTGTCACATATTGAGCTGTTGGTTGATTACAAACACTGGTTATTCTTCCAGAGTTGCCGAAGTTGAAATTCGTGTACTTTTTCTTCTTCGACGATAGTCAACAATGAATTGACTGCCTCCTTTAGAAAAATCCTACTGACTGCGCCAAATTGTGTTGTGTATTGTATTATTTAATTTGACGAATAGACTTGCGTGAAAGTGCTTACTACGTTGGACTGTAATACCTTACAGTTACCAAGTCGGACTAAAACACATCTGAATATTAGTCTCTTAGACTATTTTATATACCCCGTTTCTCATAGTTGACCCGGACCTGGTAAATGCTAATCAACTGGTCTTGTGCGATTCGTCTTGGCATTTAGATTGTTGTTACTTGTTTTTTGTGCGCCCAATCCTGGACTACTTATTACGTAACCCGTTGGCCCCGCGAACTCCGTATTTTACACATATCTTTCTAATACCCATCTATAATAGTTGTTCTAATATTGATTATGTAATATGTGGTCTTCTTTACAATATAACTTGTAAGGACCTACTATCTACCTTCTTGGCTTCTATTTTTTTCTTAGTATCTTTTTATCAGCTGCAAGTAATTTTGGAGTTAATTTTAACAAGTCTTTTAGAAATTTAGAAATTTACCTTTATTTTTCTTAAATTTGTTTTTAACCTCCTTAATTCCTGTCTTAAAAACTCAGACGTTTTCGAATTTCCGTTTGAATTTCATAACATTGAACATACACCAAACAACCATTTTTTTCGTTGGTGGACGAATCATTTGCTATCTACCGTTCCCACGCTCTACGTTCTAAAATATAATCGGCTCTTCTACGGTCTTCCAACTTTTTACTCCGATCATACGCATCGTCATGATCTTTGCAGTATTTATTCAATTTCTTTAAAATGACCCGGATCACCGCGGTCTAATCTTTATTTCAAATTTGTACCTGGTCCGCAGTATTGATAACCTATAAAACAAAAACAAAAAAAAAAATTAGTTTTATAGTAAAAGTTATGGTAACAAGTTAATTACCAGGTTTGTGTAGTTCGATTAGAATTTTATCAATAACCCAGTTGATAAAATTGCATCCTTTCTTCGTTTAAAAAACAAAAAATTAATAAGTATAATAATTTTTATACATTCTAAACTTAGTTTACTTACTGAAGTATGATTTTCGTTTTTTTAGCATGGGTATGTACGGATTTGTTTGATAAACAAATTAATTAAATACTAAAAAAAATCAAAAACCATGAAGTCTTTATTGTTAATTATGTTAATTTGTTTTTTTAACTTTCGTCAACAAAACCTTTAGACAAAATGATTTGTAATTTATATATTTTTCAAACATCCAAACGTAACCATGGTTATGTTGGATTTTTTTTCTGTTATTAGCCTATATATAATATTATTATTTTAATAATTTTATTTATGTAAGATTTTTTCAAATAAAAAAATTTAATTTCCTTTTCCTTGAATAAAGTCGTGCGTTTATAGTATTAGATTTACGTTCTAATATGCAATATGCTTAGAATTCTCGACAAAATTAATTTATTCATACTTTATGTTTCCGATATAAAATAATGATATATTTATGTGAAATATTGTTTAGAGAATTTACCGCGAGAAGTTTTCACGAGTGGATTTCTATTTTACTGTTGAAGCGGTTCTATAACATAACAAATCATTCTACTACTGAGTTATCGATGAATTTAATTTCTTTGTCAACTAGCCTAATAGTACCGTTCGACAGTTTTTTCGGATCATAAATCCAATCTTTGGCTTGAGATTTAAACCAACTTTCGAAATTCTTCTTTTTCGTGTTCCTTGTAATCAGTTGATTGTTTTGATAAGTGTATAGCGGATATTTTTTTTCTAGAGGATCGATTATAGGTTTTAACGTTCTTGATACAATTGTTGTAGCTTTGGCGTCTCCAAGTTTTAACGCAGAGTATTTTCGTCTGATATTTCCTTTTGCTTTAGCTAATTCAGCTATAAGCTGATAGGTTAGTTGATGATTATAAGCTATAATATTTAATAAACATTTTTAGATAAGAGATTCTTAAATATAAATTTCATATTTCGTTTTTCATATGGTTTGGTTCTATACATACTATAAATCGTGCTTGTGCGAATGTCCATTGTGCATTTGAATCTTCAACGTTTATGTGTGTACCGTTTTTAATGTTATATATTATTATTATCCAAATCATTAAGAACACGCGCATGCTTGTACATTCCGATAAAATATAATATAAAGGGACCACCGCAGCTCGTCCGTCTGCGGCACGCCTCTCGAGTCTCGACTGCCACCCGCCCTGCCACCACCGACATCACATCGCCCGTCTGCGTTTTTTGAACTCTTTGTGCGCGTGGCACAATATAATGTGTTTGTGTGTATGTGTGTATTATGTAAAATTATGTCGTCTGTGGGTAGTTGTATATATGTCGTTATGTTATGTTATGTCTCTATTGATGCTCACACACATAATTTATGTATGTATATATATATATATATATATATATATATGTGTACATTGCTCTAATAATAAGTGCATTTTGAGAAACTCGAGTCTGGGGTAGTAAAATATTTCATTGCGCGATAATTACATTTTATACAAGTGAAATATTATTCCCGTTTTACGCACACGCATTATTATAACATGAAATATTTACGTATATAATGTAAAGATAGAATATCTGTAATATAATAATAATATTGTAAGATATTATTATTCATATTTTATTTTCGATAGTATGTCCAATTTTATGAAAACCTTTAATGGATTAAGAAAATATTAAAATTATATTTATTGAAACAACATATTTTAATGATAAAAAAAAAAAATAATCAGAATCACAATAAAAATAATAATTAAAAAGTAGTCACTAAAATATTTTAAAAAATTGGTTTAAAAAATTTAATAATTTGCTATTATTAATATTCATAGGCTTTTGTCTAGGTATCTATGGTCAGTTATTGATAAATATTAGCTGTAGGTACTTTTAGAAGATTTATTTATTTACTCATAATGGGCCCTAACAGTAGTTGCACTCTAATAAATGGTGTATATACAACAAAAATAGTAAGTTATAAGCTTTTTACTGTACATGAATAGTTTGTGGAGAAAATTATTCACTAACAGCCCCTCAGAATAGAAATCAAACAATAGATACATATGAAACAAATCGTCTGTATGTACGTAGATCTGTATTGTCTGTATGTGTTAACAATCATTAACAAACAGAAGTTACGGCAACACTGCATTTTAAATCTTTAGGAATCATATATATGTACGATATTTGCGGAATAATTTATGTTTGTAAATTATTATGAAAATCTATACGATTCCACAAATTTTGCGTAACCTTTCTTTACCATTTCTCTCAATCTTATTACACATGAAATGATAAAATTATTTTTTCGTCATTTCTAACAAATTACATTATCATTATCTTGATGACCATAACGTTTTGTTCACTTGTGAGAAATTTCAAGTATACCTTTATGTATTAAGAAATTTTTAAGAATAAAACATTGCTGGTATTACCAATATTTTCAAATGTACTCGTATGATAAATATGTGTTACTTAGTAAACCGTATATTTTTTACATTTATTTAGAAAACTGTTAATTTATTCCAAAAAATTACCTCTCAAGTACACCAACTAAACAACATTTCCAATTAGAAATAAATACAGTTGATGATAAAAGGAAACCTTGTGAATCATACTTACATATATAATTTATATATACATATACATGTATCATTCACACACACACACACACACACAAATGTACAGTGGCGCCCACGTAGGGTACCAAAAAGGTGCAATTGCATTGATTTCTTGAGGGCCCCACTTTGGTCTCTGGAGCAAACTCTATAAATGGATAACTATTCATCTGGATCTTTAGATAGTTGAATAAAACGTAAATAGTTGGCAGTGCCAAATGTGCAAACAATATATAGATAACTATAATAATGTTGATTGTGTTTGTAGTTTGTATCAGGGCTCAGGAAGCCGTCCCAAGATTTATATGCTATTATGTCAATATGTTATGTAACTACTATATAGAAATAAATTATGATGACGTAATTGATACATTTTATAAAATAAGTCAACGCATATTCAATGCCTTAAATTCAGTAAATCAGTGATTTACTGATCAAAAATATTACGTATGTTGTAGTATTATCTTTGACATTTTTATAATCAATAAGTTATTGTATTTGAAAAACTGCCTTCAGCAATATCAACCGGTGAAAACTTTTTTTGGTAAAATTTTAAATTCAAACCCATATTAGAAAAATTTTGTACAGATATTTGTAATATTTTTAAATTTATTTAAGGTAAACACGCATTTGGAAAAAAAATTATTTCAATCAAATGAATATGATCCTATGGATGTAAACCAAAATAAATTTGGGGGGGTCCTATAATTATAATTGCACTGGTTCATGGAAGATCTGTGGCCGCCACTGCACATGAACATACATATTATACTTAATTTCGTACATGTAAAATGTTTTCTATATACATACGTTACATATTTATTAGATTCAATTTCAAATTTAAATGTTTTATTTTTTATTATATTAAAGTATATTTTACTCAAAACGCAACTTTTATTCAACGATATAATGTATTCATTTCTATAGTTTTCACAATTTCATACGTTTTATTTTAAAAAGTTTTAAAATACCATGTTGATATCTAATAACTAAATATTTATTCATATATATACGTATAAAAACACATAAAAAGTTGTGAAATTTACTGATGATAAATCATTTTTTTCTATCTACAAACACCTAGGTATAATCAAGTAATTTTAAACTTCATTCAAATTTCAAATTTCAAATATGATATACTAAATGAATAATTCTAAGTGGATTTTTAAAATATATCCAAACATAATTTATATTAATACATTATAAAAAAATAATAATACTCCCAAATAGGTATGTAAGTCAATTTTTGTTTATTTGTATTCCTATACATTTACTATAAATTATGTATAGATAAGTAATTCATACTCGTATTATGTAATAATATTTTAAAATATATAGAATAATACTTGATTAAAAAAAATATTATAATATAATTACCAATATTATTTTGTTAATATTTGTTTGTCGTTTAACGTATTATTGTTTACAACTAGTTTTTAATGAAATAATAATGTGTAAATTTGATCACAAATTTACAATGTATGTGCTAAATTTTTGAAATTATATAATTATATAATTTTAAAATAAGTAAATAAGTATTTTTATAATTTATAAATATATAATGCATACGCATACTGTATACTATTAGATAATATGAATTTTACATAATTATTCGATTTTTTAAATGATATTAGCAATATTTTATTGTAAAGTTAGTACAGATGTCAACAAAATAAATAACATAAAATGTTAAAGATGATAATATCGATGTACCATAGCACAAAAGGTGATTTATTAAAAAATAAAATCTCCATTTTTTAAAATATTCATCGATATTGAATTATTAAAATATGTCTAGAAAAAACTAAATCTTAATCTAAACTTCAAAAAATTATTTAATTTTGTATAAAAAGTATAAGTGTTTTATTTTGAAAAATTACCATGTAATGTAAAGAAAAAACGAATTTTATTTGAAATTTTTCAAGGAAAGAAAAATGGACATTTATGAGCGTTTTCCATGAACCATCGCTAATCTAGATTTTATAAGTCGTAACGTTGCTTTGATAAATATAGTGTTTCAGATGTCAAGTGTAGACAGTATAATTTATCATAATTCTGTTGACGAAACGCATCTATATCTGAATGTTGTTTAAATGTTTAGTTCTTAATGACAAAATTAGTTTTATGATTAAATTGTGTCATTTGAAACATATTATACCGTACTTTCATGTCAGATGTACAAGGATCTTAAACACCATTCGTAAGACTCGAGTGATATAGGTACATACTACGTTTTTGATGTAAACATTCTATTGACACCATTACATCATATTGCATAATTGTGCTGGTTTTAATTGTCAAAGAAAATTGTTTATAATTGACTTCGGATATTTAATAAACACCGTATCAATTATTTCTGACTCACAGTGTTTTGTTTATTTTATCTGTTGTTATTTTATTATTGTACAACATTCATGCTTGCATACTATTATCATCATATTTCCTTGTTTGTAGGTATATCTATACATTTTACTGAACACATAATAATATATAATATAATACATACGGGGTGCACGCAATAGTAATTTCTCCTATTGCGTTTCACGTTTGAACACTATTCGAGTTCGATTCGCACCATATTATTTATTGACAGCGGCAACAACGACACCGCGTGATGATTAACCGGCTAATCGTTGTTATGACTGTACGGTTGTCCTTACGTCTCGTCTTTCGCGCGAATGGCACACAAGGTCGCACATTATTTATAATAATATTCATTCAGAGATTATATGAGTGAATGTCAATAATCGTACTACTATACACACGTATACTGTACATACGTGGCAGAGTTCATTTAAAAATCCAATGCGCAAACCACGCGCATATCATCTATTATAGTTACGCTTGTTTTATTGCAGTATTCACCGAAGTACATTACCGCAGTGTTCACTCTTCCCGCCCGTGGCGTTACGGATGTTTCTTATTCCAAACACGCATCCGTTTGTTCGCCTCGGTACAACACCACGCATCGTCTCTCCGACGATTACATTGGACTTGCCGTATTAATTAGACACGTAATATCCCTTATTACAACATGATCAGATCACAATTTTTTACACGCAAACACCAGGCTGGCGTTTAAGGGAGGGCCAACGATGGGAAACCGTCAAAAAAAAATTAAATTTTTATCAAACTATCAAAATAACGAAAATCTGCTATATCTTTAAATGAAAAATTCGAAAAAATTTTTATTTCTATACTGAAGATTTGAAAATTGGATAAAAGAGTTTTCATATAATTTTATTTATTGACAAAATACAAACAAATACGGGCTTAAATTATTTATAAGTGTTAAAGAATGAAATGTTGATAAAATCGAATATCTCAACGAATTTTCACTAAATTATATTAATTATTTAAATAAAAACATTTCCTATAAACGAAATATTTTAGAGAAGTTTGTGTTGCTTATAAGTACTTGACTTTTCAATTTTCCCAAATTTTAGATGCCTCTTTTTTTAGTGAAAGTTAAAATATTATAAAATCAATT